ATTTATTTAATGGTTTCTTAGTGCTATTTCTATTTTATTTTATAGTTTCTTATTTCTACTATCTTCTTATATAACTTATTTATTTAATAAAATTACTAATGTATCTTTGTAACGATGGAAACATTTATTTAATAATTTCTTATTGCTATTTCTATTTTATTTTATAGTTTCTTATTTCCATTATCTTCTTATATAACTTATTTATTTTATAAAGTTACTAATACATCTTTGTAACGATAGAAATGGTTAAATAAATAAATTAATGTATCTTTAACACGCTACTAGCGTCACATATTTGTAAAATGAAATTAATCCTATGGATATTGTTATTAGAAACTATAAACTATTATATTTAGGAACTCAATGACTCGTTCCAGTTTTTATATTTTGTTTAGATTTATTGGATTGAAGGAAATATTATAATTAAGGAGACTGTCACTGAGGTTGCAATAGAAAATTATTTTTCCTAAGGAGTATTATAAAACACTTCGGGTAGTTTATATATTGCCTTGCATCACGTGCATTTCATCGAATTCTGCAAACTTCGAATTTTATGTAAATCCATAAGAGCCCATGGGCTACTGATAATACAAGTGATATGAAATGAATAAGTTTTTACTGCGACATCCTCCTCGACGTTCAAGTTTTAAGCACAACACGATACGGCTGGTACAAGGCCAATCAGCCGACTGAATGGCCAGAAGACAGACGTGGATCTCGAAAAACTGGCATATTGAGTGCATCGATGTTTACCGGTTCATTGTCTACGCAGGAATCATATTTGGCAAATAAAAACCCTCGGGTTGCTTTGTCTCTGCACGTCAATCCTCGACTTTCCCCTACGTCGAGCACTTCACCGTCGACGTGTCTACCGTTTAGCCTAGCGTCGAACAGGAAAAGTTTATTTCTTAATTTCAGGAACAGAGTTTCATTAGTGTTCACTATGCTACAAAATGAAATGCAAACCATTTACACTTAACAAATGCATGTCAAGCCTCGAAGCATCTAAAACATAAGCATGATGTAAAAATAGAAAACAATATAGAAAGAGTTAAACCTTTCGTTACGTGTCACAATGAAGACTTAAAGCTAAATTCAAGAAGCATAACTACTTAATTCTTCCAAATTCAAATGATTCTATAAATTATACTTTCTACCAAACATAGAATCTACCCAGAACTTCCATCTTCTTTCAATAAATTAACACACTATTTCTTAACAATCACAATTGAGAAACGGATCACACAGCAAAAGGGTTACAGAGAAAAGGGAAACCCCTGATTACCAACAGCGAATGCCCCATGGAAGTAAATACTACTCACTCTTCCAAATTAAAATGATTTTATCAATTACACTTTCTACCAAACATAGAATCTATCCAGAACTTCCCTCCTCTTCCAACAACTGAACATTAAACTATTTCTTAACAATCACTATTCAAAACGAATCACACAGCAAAATGGTTACAGAGAAAAGGGAAACCCCTGATTACAGCGACTGCCCCATGGAAAGAAGAAAATTCTGTTTCCCGGCAAAGAGAGGCTCCCTCCCGAGGAGGTCGGAGTGAAAGCGGCAAGTCTGCCGGGCCGCGAGGCAATATCGCGACGGTGGATGCCGGGGCCGTGTATTTTGTCGCAGAAAGTCTCGTCGCATCGGAGTATTTGGCCGTTTGTCAGACCGCGTAAATACGCGACAATGCCCGTCCTTTGTGCCGCTCGTCTATCAGCGATGTTTGCCAAATAAAAGCCTATATACGGGCCTCTTTGTCTCTGTTCGGCTCGTGGCGCGCGGACCGCCGCGCCGCGCCGACGGAG